TATTTTGGGCCCTTTTCAGAGATCTTCAATTTTCACCCTAGAGCCTTGAAAAAGTGAAGAGGAAATTTTTTGAAAAACCCATCTCTGCCCATTCAGTAATATCTATCAGCTAAGGTTTAGACAACTAAGCCATGAACCTTGGCAGTTGAAAGTTTGTTTATTCCTACTCCTCCCCTTAATTTAATAGGAAAGCAAACATTTTCAGGTTAAACCATGCCTAATAACAAGTTTGATTTTCATAGCAACTAGCCTGCCAGGAAATATGCAACCAGGTCTCTGTTTATTTTTCCAGAGTGTGAGTAAACCCAGGCAACATCAGTTCAAGCCTAAAGGGGTGCCTGCTTATCTTAGCTTATCTCAGGCCAGATATGAGGCCCCAGGGTAGCCTTAATCTGGAAGATGAGGAAGGAAGGACAACATTCTGGGAAAAAGAAAATCAGGGAAGTAATCACTCACCTGAGAAGATGTCAAGAGATGTCTGGAATATCTACCTGAATTTGTGGTTTCTTCCCCAAACCCCAAAAACTTTAACCTTAGACTGTCTACTATTGACCTCACCCCTTTCCTAAGAGGTCTGTAGGGGGCGCGCATAAGCGCACCAACGTGCCTACCGTCCCTGTCCTATTGTTTCCTTTATTTTTCTTATATGTGTCCATGTATTCATAATTATGTTTTTACTTATACCTATTATCTTGTAAGCAGTTGACAAAATAAATAAATAAATAAGTAAATAAATAAGTAAATAAATAAATAAATAAACAAACAAATAAATAAATAAATAAATAAATAAATAAATAAATAAATAAATAAATAAATAAATAAATAAAATGTTTTTAAAGAAGGGACTCTTATGAGTATTTGTTATTCCTTTTTTATAGTTTGTAAGTTGGGTTCTAACAACTCATTAAAAAGGTAAAGGTTCCCCTTGCACATATGTGCTAGTCATTTCCGACTCTAGGGGGCGGTGCTCATCTCCATTACAAAGCCGAAGAGCCAGCACTGTCCCAAAATGTCCCCATGGTCATGTGGCCGGCATGACTAAATGCCAAAGGCGCATGGAACACCTTCCCACCAAAGTGGTTCCTACTTTTCTATTTGCATTTTTACACGCTTTGAAACTGCTAGGTTGGCAGAAGCTGGGACAAGTAACGGGAGCTCACGCCATTACATGGCACTAGGGATTCAAACCACCAAACTGCCGGCCTTTCTGATTGACAAGCTCAGCGTCTTAGCCACTGACAACTAACAACTCATTAAACTAAGTTAAAAGGAGGTTGGGCAACTTATAGTTCATGTGTTGTGGAAACCCAACCATCCTTTTAGCTGCTCAGATGATGAAATTGATCACCAGATCAATATGGTCTATTGATTTAGACATAACATGTAAGGTGAATTCTACTTCTTTCTGTAACAGGACAGGGTGTGCAAACTCAGGCATGGGTAATAGTGAACAACAGTTTTATGATCCTCTGTCACACACCTCCCTGAGATATTTTGAAAAAGAGCTCTCTCTTTGGCATGTATAGTAATTTATATTTACCTATCAGGCTATTTATGACACCAGAAACTCAAGGGTTGTGTCCTTACACCCAGGTCAGTGAAAGACCTAGCACCTAACATTTGTAACATTTGGTGAGTTTTTAACTTTGGTTGTTTCTTGTTGGTGTTGTGATTGTTAGTGACTTACAAAGTCAGGCCGGTTCGATGAATGGCTTAGCCTAATGGGGTTCGTTGTGTTGTGTGAGCAAAACTAGAATTGGGCTAGAGAGTTGGAGAATCTTCATAGTATTTATGACATCAAAAGCAAGCAAAGGAAAGTTGTGGGTGCTCCATCACTGGAAGTTTTGAAGAGGCTGGACAGTCATTTCAGTCCAGAATGATATATAATCTCCAGCTTGGGTATTCTATGCCCTGTGATATATGACGATGAACTTAAAAGCTGCAAGGGCACTAAATCAGCGAGTGAGGACTTGGGAAGGATCAAGGGAGTCCATCCCCTTGACAATAGAAGATCTTAAGCACAGGATTGTGAAAATACCCTCTCCCCCTTCTTTTCTGTATAAATCAAGGAAGGAGAAATAGTCGGACTCAGTATAAGAAATTTGACAGGGGTTGAAATTAAGTATGAGATTAGGACTATGAGATCCAGGCTGCAAAAAAAAAAAAAAAAAAAGATTATGGCTGGATGAAGAATTCTGGGAGTTGAAGTCCGCAAGTCTTAAAGTTGATAAGGTGGGAGACCCCTAAATTCTAGCACAGGCTTAAATTAAGTTCTATAGCAGGGATGGGCAGCTGTTTCAGTTTTACAACCTATGGACTTCAACAGGTGGACTTCAATGCTGGCTCAAGAATTCTTGGAGTTTAAATCCACAGGTGGTAATGTTGGCATAATTACCCACCCTTGAGTTCAAGCGGGCTAAACTTAGGAAAGGACTCAAGTGAAGTATTAGTACCACTTTACAAAGTCTTGGTAAGACCACATCTGGAATACGGCTTGCAGTTGGGGTCACCACATTACAAAAAAGATGCTGAGACTTTGGGAAAAGAAAGTGCAGAGAAGAGCAACTAAGATGATTTGGGGACTGGAGACTAAAACATATGAAGAACGGTTGCAGGAACTGGGCCTGGCTAGTCTAGGGAAGAGAAGAAAAGTGGGGGACAGGATAGGAGTATTCCAGTGTTTGAGGGGCTGCCACAAAGAAGAGGGGGTCAAATTATTCTCCAAAGCACCAGAAGGCAGGACAAGAAGCAATGGATGGAAACCAATCAAGGAGAGATCCAACCTGGAATTAAGGAGAAACTTCCTAACAGTGAGGACAATTAATCAGTGGAACAGCTGGCCACCAGAAATCATGGGTGCTCCATCACTGGAGGTTTTTAAGAAGAGACCGGACAGCCATTCGTCTGAAATGGTATAAGTTCTCCTGCTTGAGCAGTGGGGTGGACTAGAAGACCTCCGAGGTCCCTTCCAGATCTATTCTGATTCTGATCCTGTTGTCATTGTGTCTGCATGCCCCTTAGCACAGCCCATCACACCAGGGCATTGCGTGTCTTGTTTATCTTGAGTTCTAAATCCATTCCTCGTTTTGTCCGAGCAGAGCCGAACCTTTGCCGGTCCTTGCCGAGGCAGCTGGCTTCGTCGCCGAATGCCTCCGAAGGCCAGGCGAGTCCCACGCCCGAGCTTTGCCGAGCCGAACCGAAGGTTGCCGAGCTCCCTAGAGCCCATCCCGTCTTCCAGGCTCTGCCGGGCGCTGTCCACCGCCTGCACCGCCTGAAACCTCCCGCTTATTTGAACAGCCCCCGCAGGCTACAGAAAAGCCACCGGGGACACGGGCATGCACGGGCAGGCTGGCCGAGGGCAGGCACCCAAGATCTCTGTGTGTGCGTGCGTGCGTGCATGTGTGCGCGCAGGTGTGGCTTGCGTGCAACTCTCCCCCCGCCCCAGGCGCCATTCTTCCTTAGCAACCTGCAAGAGCTACCCGAAGGCTGCCGAGAAGGCCATTTTGCAACGGGGGGGGGGAGGGGAGGAGGGGGACAACACCCCCTGCCCTTCCGCATTGACTGTCGCTTCTCCCTTCGTCATCTCCTAACCATCCGGCCACTCGCTCCCCTTTAGCCGGGGCATCCAGCTAAAGAGGAGCGCCCAACTCAAGCAGAGACCGTGTGTACGCGTGAGTGCACACACGCACCCCGGTGCTACACCTGGTGTATCTGCTTCCCGCGCCCCGCCCCGCCCCTCCCCACAAGCCTCCCGGGAGCTCAAATCGGCGCCATTGAGAGAGAGAGAAGCGGGGGCTGGGGGAGAGAAACAGGTCCGCTGCAGGGGGGGGGGAGGAAACCCCTTCTTGCTACCCGCACTTGTTAGGAATCTCTGCCACATTCACACGCTCCGCAATACACGGGTGTCGACGGGGAGGGGACAGAGCAGCGGAGTGGGGGGAGGGGGAGGGGGCTTGGCAAGGCGTCGATCTCCTGCCCCGGCTTAATTTGGCATGGCAGCCAAATTCTGTCCTGATTAATTAAAGGACAGGGAAGGGCTCCAAACGAGAAAGCTGCGGAAAAGAGGGAGGGAGGCCTGATGGAAACTAGTTTCAAATCTGTATTATCAGGTGCCTTTCCATGCCTTGGTCCGGGCCGAAACCCAACCCTAATTAGTCCCGTTAACAAGACCAAAAAGACTGGAAATGCGGGCAAATGGAGGCCCCGGTCTGGGAAGCAGATATTTGGAGGGTAGGGGTGGGTGGGAATGCCACAGAGGAATTTGGTGCCAGTGCACGAATGCCTAGGCCAGGCCTAAGTTTCCTCTCCTTCCGACCCCACCTCGTCCCTCCTGGCCACCCTTCTTCGCAGGAGGGAGGGAGGGAGGAAAGGAAGAAGGCAGGAATTCAGATTTCAGCACCACGGAGGCTGAACAGCACCTCATACCTGGCGCAGCGGGGTGATCGTGCCAGATCTCAGCCAAGGGGGGGAGGGGGAGGGGGTTTCCTCCCCTCTTCTGCCCACCTGCGCCTCAAGCTTTTGCAACAGCTGCTCCAGATGTTGGGCCTGGCCAAGCCGGGCCCCCTTCAAAGGCAGCGAGGAGACCATCTCTCCTCCCCATCCTTGGTCTTTCCCGCCTCAAACATGGTGGAGGCTCATCCATTGAGCCTTTCCCCACCAACCCATTTTTATTTAGAAGGGCGTGAAAAGGCACAAACGCGCCCAGAGCTTGTAATAACACCGGGAAAGGCGTTGCCAGAGACTCCTGAGTGGGGTGTTTTTTGCTTTTGATTTTTTTGCTACCATAGACCAACGGCTTGGCTCCCAACAAATTCATGGAACCAAAGAGCGGGTTGCCTTCCTCTTCCCCTCCAGTGGTCTCCCATCCCCAACATCAAAGGGAGCTAAGCGGAAAACACTTTAAGAAAGATATTTTTTTAAAAAAAAAAAATAATTGGAATCAGTTACAATGCAAATATTTCACTTCTCTCACTATGAGGGTAAGGGATGAGCCGACTTACTTCATCTGCTTCACGATTGTGCTTTTTCCGGATTCCCCAGCCCCTGTTGGGACAAAATAGAAGGGGAGGGGGAGGAAAGGAGGGGGAGGACATTAAAACCTTCATAAAAGCAAAAAAAAAAAAATCTGGCCTGTGTGAGAATATAAGAAGATAAAAGCAGATAAAGAGAGAGAGAGAGAGAGAGAGAGAGGGAGGGAGGGAGGGAGGGAGAGGAGTGGTAGTACTAATGGCTGTGCGCGGCGGGGATGGGTGGGAAGAAGGGAGCCAAATATTTGTGTTTGTGCAATTGATGTTTCGGTGCAAAAAAGGCGAGAGATGAAGGAGATAGGTTTTTTTAAAAAACAAACAAACAGTGGGAGGGGTAGCAAGACCCCCTACCTGTTGGGGAGAGGTGGGGAATTGGGGAAGGGGCTGAGATGGGGTTACATTTGAGCCAGTCCATCCAAAGGTGCGGCAGAAGATGGAGCGTGAAAACACACACACACACACACTCACACACCTAGTTGGTGAAAGGCAGTGATTTATTTGGCGGAGGTGGGGACAGATAAAGAGGTTCTAGGCAAACGGCCTTCGGCCAGGCATCAAAGCTACACCTGGAGGGGAAGTGAATCGCGACCTCAAAGGGACCAGAGGGGGCTGCAGCGGAAATCGTGCAAAGGGGCACAGCAGGCGGGGGGGGCGGGGGGGGGGGGGGGGGGGGGGGGGGGGAGAACGGAGAAAGGAAGCCCGGCTCTTGGCTTACCTAGCAGGAGCAATTTCACGTCTTTGGCCGCGGTGATCCCATCTTCCTTGAGGTTCTTCTCGATCGCTTTGCTCCTTTCCAAGGCGGCCCTTTCCTCGGCGCTCAACGTACATCCCATGGTGGCCCCAAATCGGGAACGGTGCCGGGTTGACGGACCCTTCTCCTTCGCCTCTTCCCCCCCACCCTTTCACGGACGATCCCCCACCCAAAGAAAGAAGTGGGGTGGGGGGTGGGGGAAAGCCGGCCGGGAAGAGCTCGAGGTTGCAACGCCAAAGGCCAAGGGGAGGAAAAATCCTCTTTTTTTTTGCCCCCTTTCTCTCTCTCTCTCTGTCTCTCTTCTCCCTCTTCTTCCCAGCCCTGTTCTTGGCTCGCTCCGGCGAATCAAGGCATCCAAAGGAATCAGCCCAGCTTTGCGGGAGCTGCAGAGGAGCTGGTCGGGAGGGCAGTGGGGGCTGGGGGGGCGGGGGGGGGGGGGGGCGCTGGGAGAAGGGAAGGGAGGTGGCTCGCCTGCCGGAGGAGTCGTCGGAGGAAAGCGGGGCGCTCGAGAGAGCGAGCTGACCCCGCCGGCTGCAGCGCTCCGCGGGCTCCGGTAACCGGTTGCAGAAACGGGAGAAAGTGCTCAAGATTTTGGATTTTGTTTTTTTTTTCCCCTTCCTCCGCCTTTCCTTCTTCAAGCGCAGAATTTCTCGCGGTCCGGTGCTTTTTTTGTTGTTTTTTTTTTTTTCCTTCCTTCTTTCCCTTCAGTTGGATTGGGGGGGGGTTGTTGTTTTTTTCCTCCCCCTCTTCCTCTCCCCTCCCCCCCTAATCTGGGGGGTCTCTAATGGGCGGCGGCGGCGGCGATGGCTGCGAGCGATCGCATCGTTCAGCCCGTCCTAATGGAGAGAAATGCAGAAAGGGTGGCGGAGGGGGTGGGAGTGGGAGAGCGGCCGCGCGCGCGCGTGTCCGCCAGCCAGCCAGAGGGGAGAGAGAGAGAGAGAGAGAGAGAGAAGAGGAGGAGGAGGAAGAGGAGGAGGAGGTGGTGGAGGGGGCACAACGACGAGCGAGCCTGGGCTCTGCGCTGTGCTGACTTCAAGGGGCGAGGCGAGGCCGGCTGGACTGCTGACGTCTGTGGCTCCCCGTCCGCGCATGCGTGCTGGCCAGACAGTTCAGCCCCCCCCCCCCCGGGGGGGGGGGGGGGGGGGGCGGTTGTGGGGGGGGGGGGGGGGATGAGGAGGAAAATGAGACGATGGCTAGGAAGGAAGGAAGAGGTCTGTCCTGCCAACCTCTAAGCGCGGGGTGGGATCCACCACCAACAGTTGCTGCTATACTGAGATTTAGCCGCTCTTCCCCCGCCCCGGCTTTTATTCGGTAGGGAAAGTGACGCGGGGGGGGGGGGAGTTTCGGTGAAGAGAAAGTGAATGCGCGAGATGCAACCGAGGAGGCTCGCCTGCCCCCTTCTGCTTTGAGTGACTTCGCCTTCCCTGCCTTTTTAATGAAAATGCAGGCTTGGTGTTTTTTTTTTTTTTGTTTTTTTTTAATTT